GTTCCTGGGGCTGAAAGATTTCACAGCAAAGGATTTACATGGAATATTAGCAAAAGCCGTACCACCTTCTCAGGTCCTAGAGCCTGAGAAGGGAGATATGGAGAACTAACAGAAGGAAGAAGTGGGAGTTTTGTTTGTTTTGGCAATGTACTATTTTAATTAGGGTGGATTGTTAGAATGACTATTAAAGTATGGATTTATTTATTTTAATTTTATTTTTGGTTTCAAACCGTCCAGCTGGTGGCGGCAATACATATGTTGGATGTAGTCCGCCATAAAACCCACAGAAGAAGAATAAGAAGTTAGGGTTTAGGGTATTAGGGTTTAGGGTATGGACGTCCCAAGGATCTCGGATAGCACTGAGGCAGCAACATATAGGCATAGAAGCACAGGGGGAGGGGTGTTCGGCTTGAGGGGGGAGAAAACGCTAGGACGGAGACAGCTGCTAGCTGTGTAGCAGTAAGGCAAATTAGTGTTGTAGCGACAAATCAAGGAGCCAATAGCAGATCTCACTGAAAAATATTTGGCAACACTGTTGAAAAGTTCATTCTGGGGACGGGACGGGACGGAGATAAATGAGCAGACCCACGTTGTAGCTGCTCACATAGCTGAGGCGAACCTGGGGGAATTGCTACATAGGAATTTGCGGAAGAATTGAGAGAAACAGGTAGGCTAACGGTAGCTATGCATTTGTTGTTTGCACTTTTGCCCAGGATAGCTAGCCAACCTTCTTTTTGTAGCGGATTTTTTTATTCTGTTCAGTGGCTAGCTAGCTAGCTAGTTCTTATTACGGTAAATTAGAGACATAAGTGTACAAGTATGTAAAGTATGATTTGCACATGTAAAATATGAATTGCACCTGTATAATACGTTTTGTAGTTGCAAAAAATATTTGCAAACTTCCTTTGAGAATAAATGCAACAACACTCGCAAGCAATTTGTCCCTCAATGTTTTCGGCACTGAGCAAATTTCAGGTCTGCTGAGCACAAAGTTGAACGTTGTGAAAATTCTGTGAAACTTCCAGCCCGCGTTTACTGTGAACACTGAGGCTGTACCCGCTTTAATTTACCGTTTTAACAGTGGCCAAGTAGGCTACTGTTGCTATTTGATCATAATGTAGGCCTACCAGAGTGGCCTACCATAAAACAATGTAGAAAATGCATCCCATAACATTTGACAATGGCTGTTCAGCCTACAGTAGCAGCCAATGTGTGTCGTTCGATGGTATACATTACATAAGACTTGTGAAAAAAACATGCAGGACTTGACATTAACCTGTTTATCCACTTGTCCTTCAGACAAGGAGGTGACTGAATGTTGTTGTGGTGTTTGATGCAATAAATAAAATGCATTATTATTCCCATACCATTATTACAGAGAATCAGACAAATTATGCCACCCTCAGTCTATTGGCTACTTAGCCTATTCAAGCCTGTCCCAAAATACAACACTGCCCCTTTTTAAGACAAAAAAAAAGCTCTTTACCTGACTGGATTTTCAAATATGTCTAGAAATGTACACGTGTTGTGCTCTTGTAGGAAGCAATCACTCCCCTATTGCTGACTACAAATGATCTATAACTGGGCTAACTCACTTACGCTCTGGATAAGAGCGTCTGCTAAATGACTAAAATGTAAATGTAAATGTACTAGCAAAGGATATGAACTAAATGAGCCAGCAACATATAGGCATAGAAGCACAGGGGGAGGGGTGCACACATGGCTACATGCAGCTCTTTCTTTGATCTCAAAATGCATCTACTCAGGACCACAGCTGTAAACACAGTTCAGTTAAAAGTAAATGGCACAGATCCATATATGGCAATGGTCTATTTGCATATAGGCCTACTGCAGATGATTGGTTATGCCGGACTGGTCTGTGTAGAGTACGGGCTGAGTCGTTCACAATATAATCGTACTACAATGCGTTCTGCCTACAACAAAATCTCTTGCATAGTTCGTTTTGTTTTGGTATGTTGCATTGAATGTGGCTAATATTGCGTTGATTCGATCAAAATTGCCGCAGTAAAGGGAACCGTTGATAGTGTTAACTAACAGGGAAAACTCTAGAAAGTTGCGTGAAGTTCAATCTTGTGCTTTTCTCCATGGGCTGATATTTCTTCTGTGCTCTGCAAGGCAGTCCCGGGGAGCTGCACAGCAGTCTGGGCTACTGCGCGCCCGCGCCCGCACGCAGCTTAGAGGGAACAGTGCTCGCAAGCACGTAACATGATGTGTGAATAAATACAACAACACTTGCAAACATTAAACTTGATATGTGAATAAATTCAATAAGATTTGCAAGCATGCAACTCAATTTCAGAATGAATGCAACTCATTTACTAAACTTAAGACTGGTGATTCTTCTGCGAATCAAAACTACATTTGCCGATGTCAAATCTGTTTTGGCACTAACTTAGCGACTAACCTGTGGCGAAAGTTTTGTAGTTGTAAAAAAGAATGATAAGCAAGCAGCAGAGAACTTACATCAAATCTATGTACATTAATGGAAAAGTTGATTGTAGGCAGATTGTTGTATTTTCTGGAACATAGTGGTCTATTAAGTCCATACCAGAATGGATTCAGAAAAGGAAGGACAACCCTTGATGCATTGGTTAAAGTTATTACTGAGGTGAACAAAGCTTTGGCAATGAAGGAAGTGATATCGATAGTATATTTTGACATTGAAAAAGCATATTATACAATGTTGCGGGAAGGTCTACTGATTTAAGTTGAATGGAATGGGTATTAGTGGGAGAATGTACAACTGGATTATGGATTTCTTGTTTGACTGAACCTTCCAGGTCAGGATGGGATCGGAGTTATCAAGAGAATATGAGGTGGAAAATGGAACTCCACAAGGTAGTGCTATTAGTCCTATCTTATTCACGTGGAGGATTGATGATATCTTCTGGGATATCGGACAGGGTATAAGGGCGGCCTAATATGCAGAGGATGGTGCCATATGGAAGAGGGGAAGGAATATTCCTTATGTAATAAAGAAAATGCAAGGTGCTGTTGTAGCAGTAGAGGAATGGTCATTATCATGGGGTCTCAAGTTACCTTTATCTAAATCTTGCCACATGTTGTTCGCTAACAAAAATATGAAGGAAGATGTCAGTCTTCGATAATATGGAGAACAAATGGAAAGGGTAACAGAATTTAAGTATTTGGGTCTATGGTTTGATGAAAAGCTTACATGGAGAAGTTATATTACATGTATTGAGACTAAAGGTAAGAAAGTATAACATCTTATGAGGACAGTAGTTGGGCATGATTGGGGGGCAGATAGGCAATCTTTACTGAATATTTATCGTACTATGATGAGATCGTCCATAGATTATGGGTGCTTTGTATATGGTTCTGCAGCTTTTACATCGCTGTTGCGCCTTGATAGGATGCAAGCGAGGGCACTCAGGATGTGCGATGGTGCATTTTTAAAAACTACACCGGTTGAGGCTTTACAAGTAGATCCTGGGGAAATGCCACTATCCCTTAAACAAGTTAAGCTAGCCCTAGCATACTGGGCAAGACTGAAGTATAGTACGGTAGATCATCCTACTCTGACAGTATTGGAAGACTGCTGGGAATAATCAACGATATCAAAAGAGGGGTTTTGGCCCAGAGATTGGGAAAAGGGTTGATGAATATGGATTCGGGAACCTTGTTATAGGGCCATCTGTAGCAATAGGAAATGTGCCACCATGGTTTTATACAACACCACATATTGATCTTAGCCTGATCTAAGAAAATGGTGGTGTGAAGAAGATAATGTAGGAACAGTAGTGGATCAATATATTAGTAATCCGTTTTATTCTTTCCTTGATGTGTATACAGATGATTCAAAGGATCCCATGAATGGGAAGACAGGAGCAGGTGTATTTATTCCTGAGTTCGTTGTTAATCTATGCTAGAGACTAACAAATTATTGATCTGTATATTCAACAGAAATGGTTGTGATAATTGTTGGATTGCAATGGATAGAGGTGCAACCAAGAAGAGTAGTAATATGTTCGGACTCTGCATCAGTTTCTGTAGTTTAAGATCTGGAAAGTCAGAACGTGAGGATTTATGGTTAAAAATAATGATGCTGTTGTTGGGCTTACAAAGAAATGGTATTTAAATTAAGTTCTCTTGGATTCCGGCGAATACCCGAGTTTATGGAAATTATATAGTAGATATAATAGCAAAAAAAGCAGGTCTCTTCTTGTTATTGGTGTCCTTTAGTGGTGGTTTCTTTGCAGCAATTCGACCATGAACAGTTGATGTTGAGATGTGTCTGTGACTTGAACTCTGTGAATAATTTATTTGGGCTGCAATTTCTGAGGCTTGTAACTCTAATGAACCTATCTTCTGCAGCAGAGGTAACTCTGGGTCTTCCATTCCTGTGGCGGTCCTCATGAGAGCCAGTTTCATCATAGCGCTTAATGGTTTTTGCGACTGCACTTGAAGAAACGTTCAAAGTTATTGAAATGTTCCGTATTGACTGACCTTCATGTCTTAAAGTAATGATGGACTGTCGTTTTTACCGAACTCTGACGTTCTGTCCTGCCGATGCATAGAAAAACCAGCTAGCTTTATATTATCCATGTGCTTGTTAGTGATAGCTGTTCTGATGTCCAGAAGCTATTTACGGTCATGGGAAACAAGGGCGGAAACTTTATGTCCAAAAAAAGTTACGATCAGCATTTATTCTCAAAAGAAGTTACATGTTTGCAAATACTTTTTGCAACTGCAAAACTGATTATACAGGTGCAACTCATATTTTACATGTGCAAATCATACTTTACATTCTTGTACACTTATGTCTCTAAATTACGTTAATACATTCTGTTCAACAACAGCTAGCTAGCCAGCAGTGTATGCTGGCTAACATGTCTTTCACGTTTTCACCAGGAATGCCCATTTTCGTGTGTGTGAGAGAGAGAGACCGAGAGAGAACTTCAGTTTAAGCCCACTCGTGACAGTTTGGGAGTCAAACACTTTTTTTATCCTGCAGCAGCATGGTGAATAATGTGCAGAGAGTCGACGACACCTGGCGAACATGCACCAAAAGCGACTCGAGTGGCGCGAGCAACAGCGGCGGCGAGAGTTCCAAAGAGAGCTCTCGCTCCTCGACGCCTGTGCTGGATGCCGACAGCATGGACAGGCTACGGGACAAGATGCGCCGCCGGACAGAGTCGGGCGACCACTGGTTTTCCCTCGAGTTCTTCCCCCCTCGTACTGCCAGTGGGGCTGTCAACCTCGTTTCTAGGTCTGTAGCTAAAGCTCGTTTGGCGTTGGCTTGTTCTAGCTGGTAACTCAAAACGAGGTCAGAGTTTGAAATTAGCAGCTAACTAGCCAGCGGATACGACCCTCTTGCTTACAGCTGCGCTAGGATCGGACAGACTTCCTGTGTAGATTAAGACACAGCGGAGCCGGTGCGAGATATGTCTCGGAAAATGTACCTCAATACAGGGATGAGAAATGCTTTGTACTGCAGAATTGTCCCATTATCCCAACTGTTACACCGAGAAGATTGTACAACTGCTAGTTTTTTAGCAGTTGTTCAAAATTCTCTGTGTAACAGTTGGGATAATGGGACAATCTCGGAGTACAATGCATTTCTCATCCCTGTGTTGAGGTACATTTTCCGAGACATATCTCGCACCGGCTCCACGTTGTCTTAATCTACACAGTAAGCCTGTCCGATCCTAGCGCAGCTGTAAGCAAGCTGGTCGGATCTGCAGGCTTAGCTGCTAACTAACTACCTGCTTTTAGCAACACTAGTATTTACACACTAGCGTTGCTAGGAATTGGCTTGCAAAACAACTGAATAGTCCGCCGGAAGCCAGAAGTGAAACAAAATTCAATTTCAATTTACTCTGCCGATTGTGCGTAGGATTGGTCCTTATGCAGGGGGGAAATTGAGAAAAAACATCTAATAGAACACATATTAAACAGACTTTCCAAACGTGGGTCTGTTGTAGACCCACTTCCTCTCCGCTTACCTCATGCACGTGTGCCATACCTGCACAAAAAAAGCAAGGACTTGTGGGGGACCTTTGTTTTGACATGAGGTAAGCAGAGAGGATCAGACCTCGCTGAGGAGCTGCTGCATGCATCTACAACAGACCCACATTTTTTGCAAGCCAATTCCCAGCAACGCTAGTAACATATAAATACCAGAGTTGCTAAAAGCAGCTACTAACTAACCACATCTTCTCTCTCCCATTTTTACCATTCAGATTTGATCGCATGGGCTCTGGGGGGCCCCTGTTCATAGACATTACCTGGCATCCGGCGGGGGACCCAGGTTCGGACAAGGAGACCTCCTCCATGATGATTGCCAGCACAGCGGTCAACTACTGTGGCCTGGAGAGCATCCTGCACCTGACCTGCTGCAACCAGACCAAAGAGAAGATCACCGGGTACCTGAGCAAAGCCAAACGCCTTGGCCTGAAGAACATCATGGCTCTAAGAGGAGGTAGGGCCACTTTGAGTAGGGTGACGTTGCACAGATCTAAGGTCAGTTTTAATATCTTCCTCTTAACGGTTAAGGTTAGGATTTGGGGAAGGTGAGCTGATCCTAGCTCTTAGGGACAACGTCTACACAGAGCAGGGTTAGTCCATTGTGGGAGTGTTTGTGTGTGCTTCGGTATTGTATTACAATAGCCTGAGGGTCTGCCTGATATTTTTTAGAGTGAAGTTAATTCCTGTGCACATGCGCAGATGCACTGTGTGGGTGCTCGCAATTGCACCCTCTTGCATCGCTCTGACTCTGCAATGTCTTTGGTTTACAACTCCACGTTGCTGCCTCTTGCATCGCTCTAACTGCAAAATATTTAGTTCACAACTTCACATTGCTGCTCGTGGTCATACAATCACAATTGCAGCCTCTTGTATCACTCTCACTGCAATATTGTTTTTGTTCACATTGTGGCTCGTGGTCAAATCATATCGTTGAGTCTCAGTTTCACCCTTATCCCGATTTTTCTCATTGAGGATAAGTATTTTTCAAGAGACGTGGCTAACTATACTGAGCATAAATATAAACGCAACATGTAAAGTCTTCATCCCATGTTTCATGAGGTGAAATAAAAGATCCCAGAAATGTTCTGTATGCACAAAAAGCTTATTTCGCCCAATTTGGCCACAAATTTGTTTACATCCCTGTTAGTGAGCATTTCTCCTTTTCCAAGATAATCTATCCACGTGACAGGTTTGCCATATTAAGAAGCTGATTAAACAGCATGATCATTACACAGGTGAACCTTGTGCTGGGGACAATAAAAGGCCACTCTAAAATGTGCAGTTTAGTCATACAACACAATGCCACACGTCTCAAGTTTTGAGGGAGCGTGCAATTAGCATGCTGACTGTAGGAATGTCCACCAGAGCTGTTGCCAGAGAATTTAATGTCGTTTTAGAGAATTTAGCAGCACGTCCAACCGGCCTCTCAACCGCAGACCACTCCAGCCCAGGACCTATATCTGGCTTATTCACCTGCGGGATCGTCTGAGACCAGCCACCCGGACTGCTGATGAAACTGGGTTTGCACAACCAAAGAATTTCTGCACAAACTGTCAAACTGTTTCAGGGAAGCTCGTCGTCCTCACCAGGGACTTGAACTGACTACAGTTCGGCATCGTAACCGACTTCAGTGGGTAATTGCTTACCTTCGATGGCCACTGGCATGCTGGAGAAGTGTGCTCTTCACAGATGAATCCCGGTTTTAACTGTACCGGGCAGATGGCAGACACGTATGGCGTTTTGTGGGCGAGAGGTTTGTTGATGTCAACTTTGTGAACAGAGTACCCCATGGTGGCGGTGGGTTTATGGTATGGGTAGGCATAAGCTACGGACAACGAACACAATAGCATTTTATCGATGGCAATTTGAATGCACAGAGATACCATGACGAGGCAAAGGGTGGTCACACCAGATACTGAATGGTTTTCTGATCCACGCCCCTACCTTTTTTTTAAAGGTATCTGTGACCAACAGATGCATATCTGTATTCCCAGTCATGTGAAATCCATAGATTAGGGCCTAATGAATTGATTTCAATTGACTGATTTCACTGAACTGTAACTGAGTAAAATCGTTGAAATTGTTGCATGTTGCGTTTTATATTTTTGTTCAGTGTAGCTACGTCTCATTGTGACATTCCCATTGAACACCATGTTTTCCTGATCTCTTTATAGATCCCATGGGGGCTGACTGGGAAGTGGAAGAAGGGGGCTTCAACTACGCCACAGACTTGGTCAAACACATCCGCTGCGAGTTTGACGACTACTTTGACATCTGTGTAGCCGGTATGATTGAAGCAGAATTACTTTCTTTTCTTTTTTTACAAAGCTTCATCATATTGTCATTTTATAGTAATGATAACCTTTTATCAGGTCATTTGTGGAGGACTTTAAAGTAGGCTGTTGTACCTACTTACAGTGCATTCGGAAAGTATTCAGACCTCTTGACTTTTGCCACATTTTGTTTCGTTACAGCCTTATTCTAAAATGGGTTAAATAGTTTTTTCCCCTCATTAATCTACACACAATACCCCATAATGACAAAACGAAAACAAGGCACTTACCTTGATAGTAACGCACACATGTCCAAAGTTATTATTTGTAAGGAAAACATCAATGCAATAATGCGAGTGCCAGTCAGAAAATGTGCCAGATCGTGGAAGACTGCGCAAATGTCTGCATATTTGATGTGCAGAAGAAATGGGGAAGAGCTCTCCTCAAAGAGGGAAGTTTTGTCAGGCTCAGTAAAGCCTCAAACTTACATTGTCCGCAACAATGAAATGGGCTACTTCTATGTGAATTAATGAGGAGGCGGAACACACCTCAATTCAAACTGTGTTAGAAAATACAACTTGTTAGAACATTATTTGAAATTGACAAGTTGAAACATAGCCTATAGATAATTAGCAGGCAGCGAGCCTTGGTTTGAGGGCAGCCTGGGTTAACTGTCCTGTTCCGTAACAATCACATTTTGGAACAGTGAGTGCATTCTGACATCACGTGCATAAAACAACTCATGCTGGGGCTACCATTAGAGATATTTGGAACTCACGTGTGAAAAGGTTAAATTTGCAAAAATGTATAAAATACACTTTCCGAAGGCACTGTATATGCTGTGAGCATTTGATCTCCCCAAAAGCCATTTAGTCCTTCAAGTTGTTTGTAAAATGTGACCTAAACACACACACACACACACACACACTGCGCATTAAAACCCATTTATTGTGGCAGGCTACCCCACTGGCCACCCGGAGGCAGAGAGCTACGACGAGGACCTGAGACACCTGAAGGAGAAAGTGGATGCCGGAGCAGACTTCATCATCACGCAGCTCTTTTTCCGGGCCGACACCTTCCTCAAGTTTGTCAGGGACTGCAGGGCCATAGGGATCACCTGCCCCATCCTACCAGGCATCTTCCCTATCCAGGTACTAGGGCTGGGACGATACCAGTATCGTGATACTCGTTAGTATCGTTGCAAGGAAACAACGTGAAGCGGATTTTACTTCTTTAAGAAAACAGGCTTAATGTTGGAAACAAACATTGTTGTTATGCAGAGTCACATTTAATTATTTTCCAAGCTATAGCACACTTTTTTACATAAAGCAGGTTTTTAAAGGACCAAAGAGTGAACTCTACTTCATGTTTTCATTTTTGCCATGGAAAATATATTGCGATACTGGTATCATCCCAGCCCTACCAGGTACTGTGGGACGTAGGCCTAAACTGGGCCATGGACTTGCGTGTGTGGTCAAAGACTACATTTGTCAAAGTTTGAAAGGGAGGGGTTGCGTGGGTGTACTTTCTAACACTTTCTTGGAATGGCATGTTCTAGGATGTGATGATAGCTAGCAACGTTGTAACAAATGACCAAGTACGTTCCGTGCAAAAACAAAACAAGACATTATATCGGACAAGGGGACATTTTCCCATAAGGGGCAGTGTATGTTTTGGAGTGTCTGGTGGGCGGGGTTTGCTTAATTTTAACAGGCAAGCTCAATCAAGCACAGCTAAAGTATTTGAAATTAGGTTTGACCAGTAGGATTTGTGTTTTGTCATTCCTCCTTTCCTCCAGGGCTACCAATCTCTAAGGCAGCTGGTCAAGCTGTCCAAGCTGGAGGTGCCCGAGGAGATCATGCGGGTCATCGAGCCCATCAAGGACAACGACGCAGCCATCCGCAACTACGGCATCGAGCAGACGGTGGGCATGTGCCGCGTGCTGCTGGAGAGCGGCGAGGTGCCGGGCCTCCATTTCTACACGCTGAACCGTGAGGTGGCCACCATGGAGGTGCTGCGGCAACTGGGCCTGTGGATCGAGGACCCCAGGTTGGTTGTCTAAGCCCGGACCACCCACCACACCATACCTGGGTCCAAAATAGGATTGTTTTTTCTTTCAAACACTTCAGGTTGTTTGCTTGATTTAGCTGGCCTAGTATTAAAATGTATAAAATGTAAGGTTACATACGTAACCCCGGTTCTCTGATAATATGAGTGAGATGTATCACACATGGGGATTCGTTTAGGATCGCCTACTCGAATGAGGTGAGACCCTCACCTTTCTTAAAGGACGACTGCACTTCCTGATTTGACCTCGTTTTAAATTTGGTTCATTAACAAATGCTAGCGGCCATGACTGAATTCAAACGTGAGTTGGTCGAGGTGTAGTTTGATGTGGTTGTCTCTTGTCTGTGTTAGCAGGTGGGAAGAGTTAGCAAAATTATTTAGCCAATTAGCTTCAGCCGGCTGGTGTGCGACATTGGCAAAATTGGTTTGACTTTGGATAGCCCATCTCCAGGGCTAGTTAGGGACCGTCAATAAATTACACGTAAATGAGACAATATTTTCATGTTGCACACCTTTTTATTTTCTCATTAAATGCTTTCAATATTTGTATATGCATTTCTACAATTTGTAATTGGTTTGAGGTTTTTAAGTCAATTTGGAGGAATTTTTTACATATTGTCCCATGTACATTGTGTAATTTACAGATGGTCCCTAACTAGCCCCATTGGGATTCCAAAGTCAACCCAAATTTACCATTGCGATTGAGTCAAGTGCACCTGCTCTCCAAATTGATGATTACTTGTGTGCTGTGGGCAGGATTGAAACAAACCCAACCTTCATTTATGTTGTGATGCAGTCATAAAACTTGTCATAAAGCTCTGTTTTCGACGAGACTGACTTTATAACAATAATTATTCTATGTACACTTTGTAGTCAATTTTGACAGTATAATAAATGTTTCTGACTCATCGATGCGACATAAGCTGTTTTCTAAATGAGAAGTTGGTTTTTAGGAGCGGTTGCTCTTTAAAAGGAGCCACTCTCCCGCCTTCTGGTTATTCTCAAGCATGCTTCTCTTCCTCACACCCTTGCGAGCAGGGGAATGCGGTGATATATCTGTCATATTATCAGAGGACCAGGTTACGCAAGTAACCTTAAGTTCTCTTTCAAATACTAATTTCGATGTATCACATATGGGGATATGGCCAACTCCCGTATCGCAAAAACATGCTGTCCGAAGCCAGGGTAGGGCCCAACATCAGCAACCCTCCGAGGTCCCGAGACTGAGAGTACGCACCAAGAAGGTGCAGAAACATAGCAAAGAGAGGTGAAGCCCAATACGTGGCTTATAAAATCTCAGTTCAATGAAATAGACTATATATACAAAAGTATGATTCAAAAGATTTGGCTATTTCAGCCACACCTGTTGCTGACAGGTGTATAAAATCAAAACATTGGCAGTAGAATGGCCTTACTGAAGAGCTCAGTGACTTTCAACGTGTCAGTTCCAAACTGCCTCTGGAAGCAACATCAGCACGAGAACTGTTCATCTGGAGCTTCATGAAATGGGTTTCCATGGCCGAGCAGCCGCACACAAGCCTAAGATCACCATGCGCAATGCCAAGCGCCGGCTGGAGTTGTGTAAAGCTAGCCGCCATTGGACTCTGGAGCAGTGGAAACGTGTTCTCTGGAGTGATGAATCACACTTCACCATCTGGCAGTCTGACGGACAAATCTGGGTTTGGCAGATGCCAGGAGAAAGCTACCTGCCCCAATGCATAGTGCCAACTGTAAAATTTGGTGGAGGAGGAACAATGGTCTGGGGCTGTTTTTAATGGTTTGTGCTAGGCCCCTTAGTTCCAGTGAAGGGAAATCTTAACGCTACAGCATACAATGACATTCTAGACGAACAGTTTGGGGAAGGCCCTTGCTTGTTTCAGCATGACAATGTCCCCATGGACAAAGCGAGGTCCATACAAAAATGGTTTGTCGAGATCGGTGTGGAAGAACTTGACTGGCCTGCACAGAGCGCTGACCTCAACCCCATCGAACACCTTTGGGATGAATTGGAACGCCGACTGCCATTATACATAAATATAATAGACCCCCTGATCCGGCAGGATGTAGTCGAAGAGGAAAAGTGGGGCCCCACCCACTTCTGAAGGGTGGTTGCCCAATGAGCGAAGAGCATGACACACTTGCCTTACTACAATCCAAGTCGATGTGCACTGTGTGTACTGGACAACGACAGGGTCGCCCTTCAGGGGAAGGCGACAGATGAAAAGCCATAGGCTCCAAGGTGCGACAATGGAAAAAAGTTGACCTGGGCCAAAGATGGGGGGGTTAGGTCATTAACCCTTTACACTCGTGGGAATTGGCCTATATGGATAGGGCTACATTGAAATGTTTCTTAAGGAAGAAATATGGAATGCATAACCATGGAAGCGATTACAAGGGAACAGTTTAGAGATTATGGGAAATTATTAGAATAAAGGTAATGACAGTTCTACATCTGCATTGCTTGCTGTTTGGGGTTTTAGGCTGGGTTTCTATATAGCAATAAATGTGATTGAAATGTGAGTCACCTGACATGACTGAATCCAAACATTACACTGTTGATTGTGTATTTTACATTTACTGTACTTTTTGCCGCATTTGTTGCTAACCAAAATCTGAAAATACTCTGGATACATTCAGTAACATGATAATAATATTTTTGGAAAATCTGGGGTAGGTGCAACATATGACAAATTACAAGGGTTTGAGTGAGAGTCTAACACTTGTAGTTGTTTTGTTTGGAACACAGACCTGCATCCCCGTCTTTACACAGTTACTGTTGTTTTTTTACGCAATCCACAAATGGTCAATTATGAATCGCAATCTGGGTCAGGTTTACATAATTTGAAAGCTTGTTCTATTGCCAACATGACTAGCTAAATTATAAAATACGATCTTACAGTGTTAGGCTTTCACAAGGCAATTCAGAGAAGCAGATCATAATTTTGGTTTGCATAGAATAGTCATGACTGACTGCAGTCAGATGCGTGGTCCGCATCAGATTTTCTTCACAATACAACAGGCTCATTCTGTTCAGGACAACCCAGGGTATAACGCCATATCATCTTGTAACTGTACATCAAACATAGTGATCATTAACGTTGACACTATATATTACATACGTTTTATGATATGGAAATGTGAAATGCACATTTGGACTCACAGGTGTTAGGCTTGCTTGTATGACATCAGAGGTATTTATTATAATCCTCAACGTCTCATCTTTCAAAATACATAGAGTCCTTATCATTTACAGCATTTCCCTAACTCAGAGAACCAAAAATGTGCTAAAGTTGCCCAGTTAGCTGGAGGGATGGGGGCAACTTATTGTCACGCGTGGCGCTCAAGTTCAAAACGTCTGTCAGTCAAAACCCATACAGCGCTGTGAAGCGGAGAGCCTGAGCTCTGACGTCATGTATAGCATGTTACTTTACAGCCACTGTGTTCCAATTTAGGTGCTTATCAGTGTCCAGATCTGCCATTTTCAACCCGGATATGAGTGTAAAGGGCTAACCTGAATAAAACCTTGGACTGACTGCTGGCGTGAACAGTGGCTGGTAGAGCACAGTCCACACATACGCTTAGGGATGCCAAAGGCAGTAGCAAAGTGAAAGATGGAGGAATATTACATATTCACGCTTTTCTGCGGCTAGTAGCTGCTATGAAAAGGATTTCAAGCACAATAGACACGTACCAGGACAAGCTAAAGGCTTAGAGACTGGGCGTAACGGCCCCCCTTAGAGACGACACAACAATTATGGTTAAACTGTATCACTGTCCGGTCCATGGCAGGCTGAGAAAGTGACTTAAAGGGGAACTGCACCCGCTGATTTTGCCTTGTTTTGTGGCTCCTCAAGAAATGCTGGCGCCATGACAGAAGCCAAATGTCTGGACTTCATCGCATCATCTTACAAGTCTCCATGTGCTGGCTCCATACATGTTTCTGTGAACACATTCACAAATAGTCACTGTTCCATTACCAATGGCAGTTAGGATAGGTGATATCTGACACACAAACATATACTGTGTTGAAGTTTCAACAGGTCAGACTAAACCTACCTAATTCTGTTCTCCCCATCTGTTGGTGAGCAGGCAAGAGGTGAGGCTGGAGGTGAGGTCTTTGCCAGAGCCCCATTGATGGGCATAGCAGCATAGATCAGCTCCTGTCCCCTCATCAAAGATACTGGTCGGTCACACACAAACACACACACACAGAGCACTGATTACATTATCAATGGTGGTTATGATTAGCCTGGTGGAACCAACCTGATCGCTGCGTTCACCTTTATATTTCACTTCAGATATCATAAAATGTGAAGTGAAATAGAATGGTGAACACAGCGATCAGGCTGGTTCCACCAGGCTAGGTTATGGCCTGGACATTATATACATCTAAGAAGTAGAAAATAAGCAACAAATAATGTCTCAATTGGGTTATCAAAGTAATGAAGTGGGTTACCTTCTGTATTTGTACAAATAATGAGTCTGAAGGTTGCTGGCTGGATACTTGCCAACATGTCTGCATGATGCTGATAAGGGCCCCCTTGCTGGTCTTCTCTATGCTGTATGTTCGGCTGCAAACTGGACATCTCTCGAACAACTGCAGCAGGCAATCTTATGAGGTGGTGTTGACTGGGAGGGTCTCTGACAGGGTTATATAATAGATAGCCAAGTGGTAAATGTACATTTTGTTCTAAAGAAAGGACAAAGCTTTTTGGCTAATGCACTTCACAACCAAAATGACTCTTAGTTGTATCTACTTGGCTGGGGAATTAGCCTACTAGTTTATCGAGCCAGGTATTTTTTTAATACAACTTTTCACAAGCTACCTGTCGTTGTTGATGATGAAGCCATATGTGTTATCAGGGCAGTAACTCGGTCACTAGGCCTCATGATGGCGTGTCCTTTTCATAGGAGTCGAGGGAGACTGGCAACAACTGAGGAGGTGTCACAAGGGTACTTGTGTCGCATGACACACTTTTTTATTCTGAGGTCTTGCCTGACAAGCTGTGAAAATAGCAAGTGAACAGCGAATGAAATGATTTTTTGAGGTCGCTAAACCATTGCAATAACATTGCTGGACATGTTATGATACCCACCTTTGCTCCTTCTGGTAGGTTCCGGCGTCAGTTCATGACCAGGGGATCAGTCTGTGTCAAATGTATACTTTGTCAATGATTGTCATCCTCCCTCAATTAAACGTACACTGAACAAAAATATAAACGCAATATCAAAACAAACAATTGTCACATGCGCCGAATACAACCTTAACCGTGAAATGCTTACTTACAAGCCCTTAACCAACAATGCAGTTCAATAAATAGTTATGAAAATATTTACTAAATTAAATAAAGTAAAAAATTAAATAAAGTAACACAATAACATAACAATACCGAGGCTATATACAAGGGGTACCGGTACCGAGTCAATGTGCGGGTGTACAGGTTAGTCAAGGTAATTTGTACATGTAGGTAGGGGTAAAGTAACTATGCATAGATAATAAACAGCGAGTAGCAGTTTAGGGGGAGGGGGAGGGGGGTTCAATGTAAATAGTCCGGGTGGCCATTTGATTAATTGTTCAGCAGTCTTATTGCTTGGGGGTAGAAGCTGTTAAGGAGCCTTTTGGACCTAGACTTGGCGCTCAGGTACCGCTTGCCGTGCGGTAGAAGAGAGAACAGTCTATGACTTGGGTGACTGGAGTCTTTGACAATTTTTTTGGGCCTTCCTCTGACACCACCTAGTATATAGGTCCTGGATGGCAGGAAGCTTGGCCCCAGTGATGTACTGGGCCATACGCACTACCCTCTGTAGCGCCTTAAGGTCGGATGCCAAGCAGTTGCCATACCAGGCGGTGATGCAACCGGTCAGGATGCTCTCGAGGGTGCAGCTGTATAACTTTTTTAAGGATCTGGGGACCCATGCCAATTCTTTTCAGTCTCCTGAGGGGGAAAAGGTGTTGTCGTGCCCTCTTCACGACTGTCTTTGTGTGTTTGGACCGTAATAGTTTGTTGGTGATGTGGACACCAAGGAACTTCAAACTCTCGACCCGCGCCACTACAGCCCTGTCGATGTGAATGGGGGCGTATTCAGACCTCTTTTTCCTGTAGTCCATGATCATCTCCTTTGTCTTGCTCACGTTGAGGGAGAGGTTGTAGTCCTGGCACCACACTGCCAGGTCTCTGACCTCCCTATAGGCTGTCTCATCATTGTCGGTGATCAGGCCTACCACTGTTGTGTCGTCAGCAAACTTAATGATGGTTTTGGAGTCGTGCTTGGCCACGCAGTCTTGGGTGAACAGGGAGTACAGGAGGGGACTAAGCACGCACCCCTGAGGGGCCCCCGTGTTGAGGATCAGCGTGGCAGATGTGTTGTTGCCTAATCTTACCACCTGGGGGCGGCCCGTCAGGAGGTCCAGGATCCAGTTGCAGAGGGAGGTGTTTAGTCCCAGAGTCCTTAGCTTAGTGATGAGATTTGTGGGCACTATGGTGTTGAACGCTGAGCTGTAGTCAATGAACTGCATTCTCACATAGGTGTTCCTTTTGTCCAGGTGGGAAAGGGCAGTGTGGAGTGCGATTGATACAACAATTTCAAAGATATTACTGAGTCAATTGAAAAAAAATCATTTGGCCCTAATCTATGGATTTAACATGACTGGGAATACAGATAGGCATCTGTTGGTCACAGATACCTTAAAAGGTTGTCCCACTCCTCTTCAATGGCTGTGCGAAGTTGCTGGATATTGGCGGGAACTGGAACGTCGATCCAGAGCATCCCAAACATGCTCAATGGGTGACATGTCTGAGTATGCAGGCCATGGAAGAACTGGGACATTTTCAGCTTCCAGGAATTGTGTACAGATCATTGCGACATGGGGCAGTTCATTATCATGCTGAAAAATGAGGTGATGGCGGCGGATGAATGGCACGACAATGAGCCTCAGGATCTTATCACGGTATCTCTGTGCATTAAAATTGCCATCGATAAAATGCTATTGTGTTCGTTAGCCGTAGCTTATGCCTGCCCATACCATAACACCACCGCCACCATGGGGCACTCTGTTCACAACGTTGACATCAGCAAACCGCTCGCCCACGCGACACCATACATGCTGTCTGCCATCTGCCCGGTACAGTTGAAACCGGGATTCATCCGTGAAGAGCACACTTCTCCAGCATGCCAGTGGCCATCAAAGGTGAGCATTTGCCCACTGAAGTCGGTTACGACGCCGAACTGCAGTCAGGTCAAGACCCTGGTGAGGATGATGAGCACGCAGATGAGCTTCCCTTAGACGGTTTCTAACAGTTTGTGCAGAAATTAGTCGATTGTGCAAACCCACAGTTTCATCAGCTGTCCGGGTGGCTGGTGTCAGACGATCTTGGACAGCTATGCTCCATTTTCTCGTGTGAGCACAGTCTCTAAAGTGAGCTTCTGCTCAGAGAATAGGGTTTTGTATCAATGCAGCCCTGCCTTTCCACTGCTGCGAAAACTCTGCTACTCCTTCCCCTTTCAAACGTTAAACCCAAAGGGAGAGGGTAGGGCAGAGAGCCGTAGGCCCTGCACACTATGCTCCTCAGCTGCCAGGGCTGCGCCCTAGGTTGGCTGACCCTTCTTACCTCCCTTAGGAAGGTTAGAGGGGTGGATCCTTGCTGCAGCGTAAGACCCCTTTACTACAGGTTTCGCTTGGTTGAGGGGCCTAGCCTGAGTCTTGGCAGGCTGCTGCGTCACTGGGGACCTCAGTCCCCCAAGGCCAGCTGGTTGCCCCCTCCCAGCTGTGATGCTGGGGCAAGATGCAAGAACCAACTTCCTGCCACGGGGCCCGGGTCTGTGGGGAAAGCAGAAGTTGAAGGCTTTGCCTTATCTCTTGCGCATGTCATACTTCTGCTGCATGGCGGCGACAGTGGGCCCGAACAACTCCTTGGGTGTCACTGGGGCTTCCAAGCTGTAGTATAAGCTTAGCCAAAGCGCCATTCCTCCCTCCACCGCAAGGCTCAAGGTACGACCACAGCCTTGGACGGCACCACGGGAGGCACAGAGGTTCAGGTCTGTAATCGTACAGATCTCCTTCCAAGCATCTGAGTCTAGGGTGTTCGAGTCCAGTTGCTTCCCCACCTCCAGTAACTCAGCCTGATACTCCAACAATAAGGAGGTTGAGAACGGAGGCAGTAAAGCGCTCCACCTTCCAATGGAGTGAGGCGCTGGCGTCGTTCGTAACGCCGTGAGGGGCTGAGGTAGTAAACCAGTGATGGCTCCACTGTGGGAGGGTTGCCAAAATTCCTCCCATATTGTGCATATCCAGGCTAGGGGTACCCCTAGCAAGAATCTTTGGGATGGGACTCTCTTCCCCTTGTATAGGTCCCTTGACGGGCCCTGAGCCCCTATAGGAGATGGCCACTCAATGCCGAGTCTGGCCGCGGCCCGCTTGCAGACATGAAGGAGCCCAAACTCCACTAGAGGAAAGGCAGCTCCACCGCTCTCGGGGCCTGAGAGGGTGGGAGAACGGGGTCGTCAGTCCCCATCTTCTGAGCAATCTCGGGGATATCCGTTGTCCCCTGACTTGCTACACCATCAGACAGCGAGGGGAGGGAATCGAGGCTATCTGTGACCTCTCCCCAACTGGGCTTGGTTGCAGAGAGCTGACCCTCTGGTGTCGCTGTTTGCTTGGAGGCAAGAGGGGCTATCGAGATAGAAGCATGTTTAAGCCACTTCAGACCTGCCCTCGTCACCAGTCTGTAGTGCTTGCAGGACTCCGGGTCCTCGAGCGCCTCTTGGGGATGTCCCTTACCCAAGCAATTGATGCATAGAGGGCAATCATGGACCCACAAGCACATGAACCTGGGTTAGGCTCGTCCCGGGACGGGGAAGCAGTGGACATTGTAAGGAACAAGGCTTGCTAGGGGGACCGAGCAGCGTCTGTTGTAGGAACAAAGTGTAAAAAGCGTACTAAGCTAGCTAGTTAGAAGCCTTGCGACTAACAGCTAGCAATAATGAGCTTCGTAGAACCCTATAGCCGTGAGACTAGTGGGGCGTTAGCTAGCCAGCAGCTACCTCGTGGTGAAGGGTTGGGGCTTTAGCTAGCTAGCAGCTACCTTGTGGTGAAGGTGCGCCGTGGCTAGCTCAATGCTGGCTGAAGGAAACAACCTGGTGGCAGAGTTAACCTTCAGATAGAGTGCTCCCGTAAACAATGGTGCCATGAGGCAGAGATGGTCGGTCTAGTTAACAGAACGGGTGAACGTAGGTTAAACTACACGAGAGAAGTGAGATGACAATGCTACCGTGTTTCAGGATGGTATGCTAGTATGCTAGTGAGGATAGCTTGCCTCTCAGTGAGCTAGCCAAGTTAGCCTCGCAGGGTGGACTAACTGAGTCTCAAAAGCTAGCCGTGAAGCTAGCTACCAACGGAGACTGAGAAGTAGAAAAATAATTTCTATATGAAAATAATACCTTAGTACTCAACCTCTCGACAGGGTCTGAAGACCTTTCGCGCAGCAACGATATGGTTCACTTGTGTTAAGCAGGAAAACAGGTATACAGTCGATATGAGGAGAGCTAGAGTAGTATTGCTCTTCGGGAGGAAGAGATGCGAGAATAACCAGAGGGCAGAGAGTGGCTCCTTTTTAATGAAGGTGAGGGTTTCACCTCATTCACCACTATACCTGTCTGTCTCCAACAGATACTTTTGATAGGTACTTCCGAGAGTATATGTGATACATCGAAACAAGTATTTTAAATAGACCCAAATGGGCATACTGTGTAAGGTTTAATTGTCTATTGCACAATAATCAGATTCAATTTGATTGGTACATGCACTCTGTCCTGGAACGCTTAATAAAACCAAACAAACCACTTCACATGAAATCTAACTGCCTATGTATTAGAATGGAATAGCTGCTGTCACACCCATTTCTACTAGAACTGATGCCTTCTGGTTGTCTTCTTTGGTTGCCAGGCGGCCACTCCCCTGGGCGGTGAGCGCTCACCCCAAACGCAAAGTGGAGGACGTGCGGCCCATCTTCTGGGCCTCCAGACCCAAGAGCTACATCTACAGAACACAGGACTGGGACGACTTCCCCAACGGACGATGGTGAGCAAGCAACACACTGGACGAGCTTCTAGAGAAATCACCTTGCACCTTGGCTAGTTTGTGGCTAGACAGTATGTTACATTTCCAATGTTTTTGTAACTGTCATTGGCCTAAGAGTTAAGGTATGTTTGTTCTCTCAACCTATTCTGTGACTTTTCCATGTGAATAAGTACTGTATAATCAGTGAACAGGCAATGTTCCCAGGACTTATCATATTGGCTCTGTGTTATTTCAGGGGCAACTCGTCGTCTCCGGCCTTTGGCGAACTCAACGATTACTACCTGTTCTACCTGAAGAGTAAGTCGTCCAAGGACTCCCTGCTGAAGATGTGGGGCGAGGAGCTGACCAATGAGCAGAGCGTCTACGAGGTTTTCACCAGCTACATCAAAGCCCAGCCCAACCGTGCCGGACACAAGGTGACGCCTGGCCCTAGACACTTCAGACTGAAATGTTTCAGTCAGCTTTCTTCCGTTTGGAGCCTCATGAATTCGACCCACGGGGCCATTATGACTACCACTTAAAACAAAAGCCTAAACCCTTGACTTCCGCTTTGCTCAACTGACATCAATGATCGCCTGTGATCTCCTAGGTGATGTGTCTGCCGTGGAACGACGAGCCGCTGGCCCCGGAGACCAACTTGCTGATGGACGAGCTGGACAAGGTGAACCGCCGGGGGGTCCTCACCATCAACTCCCAGCCCAGCATCAACGGCAAGCCCTCCGACGACCCCATCGTGGGCTGGGGCCCACCGGGGGGCTACGTCTTCCAGAAGGTAAAGTTAGGCCTCCGTGGTTTGGTCGTGGGGATTACCAATTATAAGCCTTATTATAAGATTATAAAACATGATAAAGGCTCATACATACTTTATAACACGTTATAAATCATTATACTGCACCTGCAGGCTTAAAGTAAAGTTTTACCAAAATAATTATAGAAAGAAGGTAGGCCTACTAAAGTGAGGGGGGATTTACACATTTGAATTTATAACACAATTTAGACACACAAAGTCATTCAAATGATCAAGGATTAAAGTAAGGTAAAATAACTGGTTTAGCAAAATGAAGGCTGTCCCCTTTTCTTTGTCACGATGTTGAGAGTAGGGTGATTCACAATCTTTCCTAGAAATGAAGAAGAGTGAATAAATGGAAGGTTTCTCAAACTTAGTAACATTTATTGAATTACATGCATACTCATCATGTAATGACATGAACCTAATGCTTTGCCACGTTTGCAAATCCAACAGGCCTATCTGGAGTTTTTCACCTCGAGTGAAAACGTCACGGTTCTCCTCAAAGTGCTGAAGAAGTACGAACCTCGCGTCAACTACCACATCGTCAATGTTCATGTAAGTTCTCAACTACATATATTAGCCTACATCTGCACTTATTTTGTGAATTGAAACGGATTGTTAGATTGATCTACTGGTCGATTGTTTCTATTTACAGGGTCAGAATACGACGAACGCCCATGACATGCAACCCAACGCTGTGACGTGGGGCATCTTCCCCGGCAGGGAGATTGTCCAGCCCACGGTGGTGGATCCAGTCAGCTTCATGTACTGGAAGGTAAGGTGAAAGGTCATTTCATTAACCTACTGGCCCCTTCCAGGAACATTACCCCCTATGCACTTGTGTAGATATAAGAGGACTGGATAGGTGTAAGCAATTTGGCGAAACCACCTATCAGAGGGAATGATGGAGTGTGCTAGGGGTTGTTTCTGGTTCTGGACAGTGCCCTTGACTCGGATGAGTTTGTGAAATGGTTGTCATTAGTTCTCTACAAACATTTTCTGAGATTTTAGTTGAGTATGGAATTTTTAACCCTCTACATCGTCTCTTTGAGCTGGAGCGTTTGGAAAGTCCCATGGCACAAAAACCTCCCATGAAGCCTTTTCAAGGAATCCTTTTCAAAACCATTATTTTGTGTGGAACTGATAAAGCTTCCTGATAAAGTTTTATCAGCACTGTAAAGATAAATCGATGGCAAAACACTTGAAATTCCCACCTTTCTGAAACTTGTAGAGTTAATTGTTTTCGCCTTCTTTTAATAGGACGAGGCCTTTGCCCTGTGGATTGAGCAGTGGGCCAAGCTGTACGAGGACGAGTCGCCGTCGCGCATGATCATCAAGTACATCCACGACAACTACTTCCTAGTCAACCTGGTGGACAACGACTTCCCATTGGACAACTGCCTGTGGCAGGTCATCGACAACATGTTCGAGCTGCTTGACAACCCCCCAGAGGAGCAACCCACGGAGCAACCTGCAGAGCAGCCCGCCGAGGAGTCACCCGTGGAAATCAACCCGCAAAGTAACTGTGGCGACAGCCAGACTGACTGACTTTTTTTCTTTTTCTCCCCGGTGCTGCTATCAAGAACTTTTCATTCGAAACTAACACCACAAAGTACTTAACTGGAGTATTATACTATACAAATATAATCGCTACATGAAACAATTTAATAGATTTTACTGTATCTTATGCCTGCTCATACCATAACCCCACCGCCACCATGGGGCACTCTGTTCACAACGTTGACATCAGCAAACCGCTGGCCCACACGATGCCATACACGTGGTCTGGTTGTGAGGCCGGTTGGACGTACTGCCAAATTTTCTAAAACAACGTTGGAGGCTGCTTATGGTAGAGAAATTAACATTTAATTCTCTGGCAACGGCTCTGGTGGACATTCCTGCAGTCAGCATGCCAATTTCACGCTCCCTTAAAACTTGAGACATCTGTGGCATTGTGTTGTGTGACAAAACTGCACATTTTAGATTGGCTTTTTATTGTCCCCAGCACAAGGTGCACCTGTGTAATGATCATGCTGTTTAATCAGCTTCTTAATATGCCAAACCTGTCAGGTGAATGAATTATCTTGGCAAAGGAGAAATGCTCACTAACAGGGATGAAATCAAATTTGTGCACAAAATTTGAGAGAAATAAGCTTTTTGTGCTTATTGAAAATGTCTGGGATCTTTTATTTCAGCTCATGAAACATGGGACTAACACTTTACATGTTTATTTCTGTTCAGTGTACTTCAAAATGTGTATTTAAAAAAATATATTTTAAGACTATGGATTTCATTTGAGCGATAAATGGTGTGAAAATGTGCCATGAAACTAACTAAATTAACTTAGTCCAACACCATATGACTATAGCAAACTGAGCTACTATCTGGATGATGAATCGTAATCGAGAGGCACTTGAGTGAATTAATATTATGATAAATGACACAGGGAAAGATTTTGGACTTTTTAAACCATTTAATTGTGTTTGGTGTATTCATATAAACATGTATGTGCTTAAGGGTGAGAAAACGGTGGTACGGTATAGGAAGCTGTTTACATAGTGCAAAATGAGAGAAGAGATGTGTAGACTATAGAATTGCATAAGCATAACCAAAGTTTAAATTGAGCAATACAGGGACTTTCTCCTGAAGCATCAGGGTTAACAGAACACATGAGCAACGACGGACTTGATTTGTGATTACCATTGTAATCTGCCATAGACAACAATTGTTACAGTACCGAGCTGCTATTGACTGTTTTGGAAATTTCACACGAGGCCTTAACTAAAAAGCATTAAGCATTGATCTCACATGGCTTTATTTTTCAGTTTTTGTTGTTCATATTTATTTCTGTTGTGACATAAGATCAATAGAAAAACACTTAATGTTGGAACAGTCAACTGTGGCCTGATGTGTACATGGTTGTCTACATGGTGATACCGTTTGCTTTGTGACAGTCAGTACAAAGGCTATGAGACCTCGTCACCCACTGATACATATTTGGGATTTCCCCTCAGAACATAGAAGTCTGTGATTTGTCAGAAATTGGGTGAGGTATCATTCATTGCCCCTGTGGCCAGAGTGAAGTCAGATGATATCCCACTGCATAAGTTGGAATGATTTCTTATCTTTTGAACCTGCTGACCTATAACCTACATAAAACCTAGCGCACTTGGCTGCAGTCCAAACATTACCTCATGTTCAAACGTGTACCTAACCTGAGGTTAACCTACTGTAGTGCTGCCATTGGTAGATGCCAACATGAACCCTGTTAGTCATGGTGGTACGGGTACAAAATATTGGTCACTTTGACCCCCCCCCCCCCCCGCCACCAACACATATGAGTCAACATCAGAGTCAACAAACTAAAAATAACAGCATTGAAGCCTACTTGGCATAACTCTTCTCGAAAGAGACTGACATGACCAACTGTTCTGGGGCAGCAGAAGTTCGGGGGTTTGAGAAAGATAGCCAGTCTCAGGTCTGTTATGTATGCCAATGGTTATCTCCTAAGAGTTGCTCTGAATTTCTTCAGTCAGTCGGTCTAATCTATGATGCCTTCATGCAGGGCCACATGCTTGAACTACGTTGAAACCTGAGCCACGTCCCATATGGTATCCCCTTAGTCCCAGGATAGTAGGAGACCAGAGGAACATTATAGTGGAGAGGGGAACCCTTTTGCTTAATTAAGCCTGAACTGTGATCCACGTGTCTCCGGGCACGATTACATATCAAATGCCATAGACCTACACACACAGACCGCTGCACCTCTAATTAATTTATGTACTCCACTGGGAGGTGGCATATTAGCCTTATTAGATATTTGTTTTTTTGTGATCCTTGTAATGAAAAGCACAATAGATGTTTAATAAATTATTATTATTATGTAAAAACGATTGGCTGGTATGCCCTCACCCATCTGAGCGGTCGGCTGTCAATGCCCTCACCCGCTAGTACACTTATGCTGACTCTGACTTGGGTTGTGACCCTCTACAGGATGTCAGGTAAGAACAATGCGGATGCTTCTCCTTTCAGGGTTTTTATTTCCTTTTCCTCTTCACCACCACACGTTAAGCACACACACTTTGATTATATACCATAGATCTTGACTTGGAATGAATCTTGGTGGAATAGTAACTGTGGTAATGAATGATTTGTGATTATTTCAGACATTCAGACAATAAAAAGTCCTCTGAAAAATGTGCGTAACACTTGACCTGAGTGGGCAAGTGCAGTGTCCAGATGCACATTTCCAAGCGCTCTGATTGGTTGGGAATGGCAGGGCTATGATGAGTGCGTTACAGCTAAAATAGGTTGAGCAGCCAAACTAACGGGTCTTAAGGGAAATTGAAGGGACTGTGAGGGAAAGTTAGGTAGAGAGGAGGGGAGCAGGACAGCCTTTTTTTTACAGCCGCCCCAATATTTCTTCTGGAAATATTAGCATCCACTAAAAGGCCTCTAACCTAAAGGGCACAGGCTCTAAAGGGGCAGAGTCTCATGTGCCACAGTCTTGAAAAGGGGTCTCTAAAGAGCTAGTTCTAATCTAGCAGGGCAGGGAGTCGGATGATCCGAGCCACTTTGCGCACGTAGGTTCTGTCACCTACACGCACCTCTGCAGTCCTGATCCTGTCGTCGGGTCCAGGAAGTAGCTGGGAGACCTGTCCCGCAGGCCACAGTGCTGTGGGTCGACATGAAGGTCTGGTGTGTCTGCTTGCCACTTCTGATGGGCCTTTAGGCCAGGCAGGTAGTGGCTGATGAAGCGCTTCCAGTACTGAACTGCTAGCAGTTGGCTGTGTCTCCATCTGCGTTGGCTGAGTAGCTCTGATTCAGTGTAGACAAGCTGAGGAAGTGAGGCGTCTGGCTGCCCCATCAGGAGAGTATTTGGGGTTACCGGGTACGGGTCTGAGGAGGTGTAGCCCCTAGGGGCTTGGAGTTGAGGATCCCCTCTATCTTAATGAGGATCGTCCTCAGGACCTCTTCCGTCACCGATTGGCTCCCAGTGTTGCTTGAAGGCCTTGCTTGAGGGAGCGGAACTCTCTCTTCCAACAACCACCGAAGTGGGGAGTGCTTGGTGGATTGAAGGTAAACTCTGGTTGGCGAGCCGCAAATGCTTCCTTCAGCTCCCATTCTCCTTTGAAGTTGGTACCTTGGTCAGACACCAATTCGAAGGCCCTTCCACGAAGTGTATGAGGGCCATCATGAAGGATTCTGTATCAATACTGGAGAGGAGGTCAAGGTGGACATCCCGGGTGGTCATACACTTGAACACAATGCCCCATCTCTTCTCGTTGCGGAGGCCTATCCTGACCATGTAGGGGCCTAAACAGTCCATGTGGGTCTGTGTATGTGGAGCCGTGGGAAGGTCTGCTATCTTGGGAATCTCCGGAGTCCCAAGCCACTTCCGACATTCCGCACACTCACGCTGATGACGCCAGATAGCCGCTCTGTCACGGATGATCCAATACCTCCGCCGGACTTCAGCGAACACTTGTTCGGGCCCTAGGTGGCACATTCTCTCGTCGAAGTGATTGGATGTTGGGGGTTGAGCACGGCGGGGTGCATGGCCTCTTGATCCAGAACTGTGCTGCGGCGGAGGCGACCCTCCATTCAAATTAGCTGAGTAGGCGATCCAGCTCCAGGGCGAGAGTGACTAGGCGGCTACTGGTGGGAACTTCTGGGAGGACAGGGTCCAGCACTTGAGCAGTAAGACCACAGAATGTAGACTTCCTCAACTTGTCCTCTTCCATAGGAGCAGGAAGTGGTTTCTCCGGCCACTGGTCTGGGGTTCCTTGCAGGAAGGATGGGCCATGGTTCCAGCGACTTCTGAGTCCCAGTTCTGCTAGGGTATTCCCACATGTGATGGCATCCGTTGGATTGTTTGCTGAGTCCACATAGCACCATGCCTCGTGGTTAGTGAGATCCTGTATCTCTGCCACTCGGGTGCCAACGAAGATCTTGAAACGTCAGGAATCCGATTGGAGCCATGTGAGCACCGTCGTGGAGTCCATCCACAGGATAACTTGGCAGATGGTGAGAGTGAGCTCAGTCTGGATGACCTTGGCCAGCTGCACTCCAGTCAGTGCTGTGCACAACAATTCCAGACGAAGGATCGCCTGTTGCTTCTTCAGGGCTACTCTTGACCTGGCTGTGAGTTAGGCCATCAGTTCTGAGGCATCGCAGAACACATGGATGTCCCTCAGGGAACCCGGGGAATCCATCTCGGTTGGTGTAGCACCTTGGCAGGGCTATCTGCTGCAGATCTGGAGGTTCGCTCTCATTTAGGCAGGTTACCTTAGCAGGTTACCTTAGTGTTCTTGGGCACAGGGACTATGGTGGTCTGCTTGAAACATGTTGGTATTACAGACTCAGTCAGGGACAGGTTGAAAATGTCAGTGAAGACACTTGCCAGTTGGTCAGCGCATGCTCGGAGTACACGTTCTGGTAATCCGTCTGACCCTGCAGCCTTGTGAATGTTGACCTGTTTAAAGGTCTTACTCACATCGGCTACGGAGAGCGTGATCACACAGTCGTCCGGAACAGCTGATGCTCTCATGCATGCTTCAGTGTTGCTTGCCTCGAAGCGAGCATAGAAGTAATTTAGCTAGTCTGGTAGGCTCGTGTCACTGGGCAGCTCGCGGCTGTGCTTCCCTTTTGTAGTCTGTAATAGTTTGCAAG